TCTTCTTCTTCTTCTTCTTCTTCTTCTTCTTCTTCTTCTCTCTCTCTCTCTCTCTCTCTCTCTCTCTCTCTCTCTCTCTCTCTCTCTCTTTTCCTGGTTTTTTGAGACAGGGCCTCTGCATGACAACCCGGCCTGGAACTCATCAAAGAGATCCTCCAGCTCTCTACCTCCTGAGCTGGGAGCATTGGGATTAAAGGCGCTTACATCCCATTTCTTTAACAATGAAGAGTTAGAGTCAATGGAGAAGGATGTAATTACAGATAGTGTAAGAGACTTAGTCAAGGTCTTCTCTGTCTCAGATCAGTCTGGAACTATACTGCACCCAAAGAAGACCTTGAACTCACCGGGCTGTGGTGGCGCATGCCTTTTATCCCAGCACTTGGGAGGCAGAGCCAGGCAGATCTCTGTGAGTTCAAGGCCAGCCTGGGCTACAGCATGAGATCCAGGTCAGGCACCAAAACAACACAGAGAAACCCTGTCTGGAAAAACCAAAACCAAAACCAAAACCAAAACCAAAAAAAAAAAAAAAAGACCTTGAACTAATGATACTTCTGCCTCCACCTCCCAAGCCCTTAGATTAACAGGTGCCACCATGTATGGTTTCTGATAGGCTGGGGATTGAACACAGGGCTTTGTTCAAGTTAGGCAGGTACTCTGCTGACTGATCTACTCGCCAGTCTCAATAAGAGTACTTCTTGGAGTAATAGTCATGTGGCTACTCAATTCTACGTGTGAGTTAAAATCTGTAGAACTGTCCTTTTTTTCTGTATGATTATTCTTTAGAATTCACATGTGGTCACATCTCCGGCTCAGAAACAGGGAACTTAGATTTTAGTCTGAGACAGTGGGGAGATGATGTTGCAAGGTTCTGAGCTGGGAAAGCCATGATAGATGCACACTGGAGAAAGCTTAGTGTCCTTGCAGAGACCAGAAGATGTCGAAGAAAGCCAGAGTAGAGGCAAGACTCTCGTTAGGGGATTTTGGGATACTGTTGGGGATCTGAACTTCTGGTCGCAGAAGATACAAAACTTATGGACGTATCTGAGAGATTTAGAGTCAAAATTAGTAAGATCATGCTGAGAGAGGATCAAGAGTTGAAGGCCAACCTAGGCTACATGAGACCCCATCTCAAAACAAAGATTATGGGTTGTTTAAATGTGGAGAAAGAGAGAGTATGAGATGGTGCCCAGATTTCTGGTAGATCGTATGGGTATTTGATGTTCATTTACTGAAATGGGGAATGTAGATACCTATGGAGGAGAATAAAGAATTTTGTGTCCAATACTATTGTGGCAAAGTGGCCTTGGGACCTGCAACCAGAGTTGGTCTATCCAGAGGGGAGTTGGATGTGGGCCAGGGAGAAGGCTGAAGTGGAGGTTACCTGATGGAAGGCTTGAGTATCTGGAAGCAGGCCTGTCTGAGATCGATCAAGAAGAGTCTGCAGATGGAGCAGACCACTGGTCCTAGAGTGGAAATAGGCAGGCCAGAGAGAGCACAATGGTGAGTGCAAAGGAGTCCAGAAAGGAGCTGCAGCACAAATCCTAACTGGTTTTAACAAAAACCTGAAGCCAGATATCGGGGTAAATGCTGAAAGATCAGTAAAGCAGAGCAGCCAGCCACCAGTTCTTACCTCTACGAAATCCTCAGCCAAAAGGGGCCGAGTTCCTGTCTCCTCCCACTTTATATTCCTCTCGCTGCCCAGCCATATCACTTCCTGTCTCCACCTCCCTAGTGCTGGGATTAAAGGTGTGTGCCACCATTGCCCGGCCTCTATGGCTAACTAGTGGCTTAGCTCTGATCTTCAGGCAAACTTTATTTGTTCGATCACAAACAAAATATCGGCACAGGAGCTGTGGTGGTGAGAAAACCCAGAGCAGAGGCCTTCACGGAGGAGTCTCAGCCTAGTAGATGCTTCTGAAAAGACAAATGAGAGGTGTAGTTGGTATGTGTTTATTTATTTTTATTCTCTGCCCTTTGGGAGCCCACCACCCAGCTTCCAAATAAATACACAAATAAATACACACTCTTATTCCTACTTATGAATGCCTAGCCTTAGCTTGGCTTGTTTCTAGCCAGCTTTTCTTAAATTATCCTGTCTGCCTTTTGCCTCTGGGCTTTTAGCTTTCTCTATCTCTGTATATCTTTTTTTACTTCTCACTCCATGGCTGGCTGTGTAGCTGGGTGGTTGGCCCCTGGAATCCTCCTCTCCTCCTTTTCGCTTTCCCCCTCTCTCTTCCCAGATTTCTCTTCCTATTTATTCTTTCTACCTGCCAGCCCTGCCTGTTTCTCTCTCCTGCCTCGCTATTGGCTGTTCAGCTCTTTATTAGATCATCAGGTGTTTTAGACAGGCAAAGTAACACAGCTTTACAGAGTTAAACAAATGCAACATAAAAGAATGCAACACATCATTAAACAAATGTTCCACAGCCTAAACAACTGTAACACATCTTCAACTAATATTCCACAACAGAGAGAGAGGGAGACAGACAGACAGAGAGAGGGAGGGAGGGAGGGAGGGAGAGAGAGAGGCAGAGGCAGTGACAGACTGATTTAGGGCTAGCTTTAGCTCCAAGGCCCTTGACAGGCACAGTTTCAGTGAAGTGGTTTGGGGAGAAGCCAGCCCAGGGTGAGTCAAGGGATGAGTAAGAGGTGACAGAGTCGTGACAGTCTGCACGGTACTGTTTCAAGCCTGGTTCGTGAGTCTTCGAGGCACTCCAGCAGTGCTCAACCCAAATATAGCAGCATGCTGGAACCAAACAGTTGGGACTGTTTGGAAAGCAACTTGGAACATGTAACAAACGCAGTGACATAATATACACACTGCGATATAAATTCTATAACAAATGTAGGGGGAGAATTTAGGTCCCAAGATAACCCTAGCTTGCAATACAGAGACAGTCAAATCCAAAGAGAACATGGACTAAAGGGCCCCACTCCTCCCCCCTCCCATGCTGAAATCCTAACCCTCATCATGATGAGAAAGGAGGGGAGCTTTTGAGAGAAGACTAGACCGTGGGGTGGAGTCTGTGTGAAAACATGGGAAAGATAGTCATCTGCGAAAAAGCAGGCTTCTACCAGACATCAAATCAACTTCCCCACCTCCTAGTATTTCAAATAAATTGTTGTTTAAACCACCTGGTCCGTGGTGTTATTTGGTACAACAGTCTGAACAAACTAAACCAGGTAAACCATCTTTGTTGGTTAGAATAGTGTTCAACCAGGGCTGGGGGAGTGGCTCATCCGGTAAAGGGCTTACTATGTGAACATGAGACCTTCGTTCCGATCCCCAACATACATGTGAACAGCCAAGTGTGGTGACTTGGTGCCCATGACCCCAGGGTGGGGAGGTGGAGACAGGAGATCGCTGGAGCTTACTAGCCAGCCAGGCTAGACCAATCAGTCAGCTCCAGGCTCAATGAGAGACCCTGTCTCCAAAAGGAAGGTGGGAGGTGATTGAGGGAGACAGATGATGGGGACCTTTGGCCTCCATGTGAATGAGCACACATGGGACTGCAACACACACACTTATGTGCACACGCAGACACAAAAATATAAAACACAGCCATGGGGTGTGCTAAACCATTCTATTTGGTTTTGGGGGGCAGTCTAGAGGGGTTCTGCCTACTCTCTACTTCTGTCTCAGCCTAAGATTTTCCTTACACTCCTTCTTTAGATGAACACAGTACATCTCACATTCTCATGGCTGCATTTTATTCCCTCTCTTAGCCCAATAGATTGGGATAAACCTGGTTAGCCAGAAGCATGTGTCTCTCTAGAGGAGGAAACACACCCAGAAGATCCTTCCCCATCATCACACACTACTCAGTGACCACCTCATACCCTCCTGGTACGAGTGGGCCATGGAGTTCCCACTGTAGCCCTTGCCTAGTCAATACCATGCATTTTTTCACACCCCAGACCTCAAATGTCACTTCCAAATCTCACATGGTCCAGTGCTTAGAAAAACAATTCAATCTCAGTACTTACACAATGAATACATTCGTGGCTCAGCAGTTAAGAGCACTTACTGTTCTTGCTGAAGATCCGAGTTTGGTTCCCAGCACCTATATAAGTGGTTCACAACAAGCTGTAACTCCAGCTGGGGGGTGGGAGTGGGGGTGGGGTGGGGTGGGGGTGGTGAGAGGGGAGTGCTGGGCTCTGCAAACACCTACAGAACACATATACATATCGACACACGGACACATACGTAAAAATAAAAATAAGCCAGGCGTTGGTGGCACACGCCTTTAATCCCAGCACTCGGGAGGCAGAGCCAGGTGGATCTCTGTGAGTTCGAGTCCAGCCTGGGCTACCAAGTGAGCTCCAGGAAAGGCGCAAAGCTACACAGAGAAACCCTGTCTTGAAAAAACCAAAAAAAAATAAATAAATAAAAAATAAATAAAATAAATCTTTTTTAAATGAGTGCGTGCATGAATGAATGTGCCCTCTCTT